AATTAAATACCAATCTAATTGCATCAGCTAGGCTTGCTTGCCCTAGAAAGGGGCAGGTAAAAGATTATGGCCTTAAATACCAGAATGGGAGTTGGGGGTCTGTAGATAATGGAACAGGGCATTACTGTAGATACTTGAGCCGGAGCATGGCATGATTTCATTGATGTTTTAGAGGAGTAATCTGGCATTGAGACTTGGACCGTTTTAATGGGAATAGAAATGATTAAACAGATGAACAGAATGGGAGAACTTGGAAAATATATCAATTACTGTATAGAGGTAAAAGGTGGTTTGGTTATTATTTAGGTTTTAAAGTTTTTTGGCCTTAGGATATAGTCTCAGACCCTTTCCATTCATTCATTCATTCATTCATTCATTCACCAATTGTTCACTGAACACCTACTGTGCACTAGTGATACAGTGGTGAAAAAGAACTACAGGCCCTGCCTTTACAGAGCTTATGTTCTAGTGAGAGATACAGAAATTTAATGAATGAGCCCACAAATAAGGAATTATCATTGTAATGTGCTACCAAGGTACAGGACACTATGAGAACACATAATAATGAGTCTTAGTTGTTTTTGTTTTGTTTTGTTTTGTTTTGTAGTTGTTTTTGTTTTGTAGAAGGGGAACGTTCCGGTGTTTAAACATGAGATAATAAAAATGAGTATCTCACGTAACACTTATACACTTTTCGTTAACTCATTTGACCTCCACAACAACCCAGTAAAAATGATTGTTTTATTGTTTTATTTTAATTCTGTTGATTCATTGTTTTATTTTAACTCTGTAAAACATTTGTCGAGCGCCCACTATTCACTGGGCTCTGTTTTAGGAGTAGGACTTATAGCAGTGAACGAAACATATCCTTGATGGACTTTGGATACATCACCTTCATTCTCACCTCTACTTCTCAATCAATTATACTCTTTCAGATGAAGATTAATCCTATTCTCTTGCAGTAATTGTAACTTCCCAGGGTTATAGATTAGTTATTGTCATAGCTCAAGTGTTAAGATAGTATGTATAAAACATTTTCAGTAGTGCCCAGCAGACACTAGAAACTCAGTAAATGTTAACTATTGTTAGAATTGCTGGTATTATTACAATGCTTAACTCACATCCTTTCTAGTACACTGGGTTTCATTTCTTGAACTAAATTCCGTACACACTTATTGTGGGCATATCATGGGATTTACATATGCTTTCATGGGAATTATGAGATCAGTGAAGAAAAACCTCTTTAATATGTCTATTTCTACTTTCCACACATAGTTGCTGTGTGACCTTGTATAAGCATCCGCCTCTGTAAGCCTCGGTTTCCTCATGTTGAAAAATTAGAATAATACCTATCTATTCAGTTGTTGTTAGCAAAAGTGGGTAGCATAGTTGAGGTGGGGTGTTAATAAATGTTAGCAATATAGCATAACAATTCTAACTCTGAAAAACAGATTCTCTAAAGTTTATTTATGCTTTCAAATGAAAATGAAAGACTAAAGAATAAGAATTTCTACCAAAATCAAAAATTAATAGACTACTGAAAAGAACACTTAGGAAAATTTCACACTTTCGCTCAATTGAAAGTGTTTTCAACGGCGATTTTTAAAATGTGACTCTCCTTCCATTTTAAGATGGTCTGCTGGACCTGCAGAAGAAATGAGTAAGGAAAGTTAATTGGCAACTTTTGTAAAGTTGGGTGTTATCTAAAAGTAGAGTACCCACCACCTAGGATTTGAACAGGTAAGAGATGGTGAGTATTTTTTTAGAGCAGAGATTCAACAATGAAGTAGGTTTATGGTATAGGGAGAAGTACTCTATTAATAGATAACTTATGGTCCCTTCACATGTATAATATATATACAAATTATTACTTATTTATATATGAAGTATTTATATATAATTCATAGTATAACTTTTAAGCAGATTTACAAGGATAATCATATTAAGCCACTTTTAAAACATGTGTAACATTAAGTTTGGGTCTTGATTTTTTTCCCCCCATGATATTGTTGGTTGTTTTGGGACTCAATTCACAGAAGACATCTGATTCTAGGAGACTTGGAAGGTGGCCAAACTGGCAAATAGGCAAAGTAGTGTTCTTGGAGTGAATTATCACTTGAACTAAATTCCATACACACTTATTGCAAGCCTATCATGGGATTTACATACTCTTTCTTGGGAATTATGAGATCAGTGAAGAAAAACCTCTTTAATATGTCTATTTCTACTTTTCACACATAGTAGCACTTAGTTGTCCTCTATGAGCACCAAGGCAAAGGCCTCTCTCTCTAGTCGACTTGCACCAAGTGAAAAGAGGAGTCATCTCCTCTGTATTCAGAAAGGGGTTCTCTTAACAACTGGACTGTTCAGCACTCTTAATAAAATTCTGGTTGAAGGTTCTACGTTGGCAAAGGTTTTGGTTCCCTTTTCTGTGGCAGCGAACGTCTCTTCCTTTGCCAATATGGCGGTCCTAGAATTGTCTGGAGGCGGCCGTTGCAGATCGTCTCCGGACAGCAGCTTGCTAGAAGCCTAGTTCTCTCCTTTGTTTTCCGACAACACATAGGGCGGCGACTACCCTCAGAACCGAGGAAGGGCTACTTTAGGTGCCCAGATCGAGAACCTTTGCAAAGATGGTGGCCGCGCGGCCTGTCAGTATCAGCGTCCTTTACCAAGATGGCGGCGGGCGGCTTCCGGCACGCGCTTCCTCCAATCCTCTTCAAGATGTCAGAGCAGAGGCGGCCGCCGCCGGAGTCGGAGTGCGGCCTGATGAGAGAGTAGCTACAGCTGAGAGCCCAGGCAGGGGCTAGGTGGAGCTGCGCGACAGCCTCCGCCTCCGTCTGGAGCTGGCAAGCACTGTCACCTGTGGGGGCGCAAAAGTTACCTCCTGAAACCCTAAAGCAACACAGCACCACCTTTCCCCGAGTCACAAAAATTATGTGTGCCGCGCAAGGTAGGAGGAGGCTCGGTCCCGACATCGTCCAAGCCCACCGGACGCGGTGCGCTGGGGCAGGGGGCCTGGGCTGGGGCCTCCCGCGCGGACGCCCCTCGCCCCTCGCCCCACGCCCCTCTCCTTAGGGATTAGCCACGTGTTTCCCTCGGACTGAGGGAGAGGCGCGTAACGGGAACAGCTGATAGGAGCTATATGCTGACATTTTAAAGCTGCGTGTATTTTGTTTTATTTGGAGGGGCTGGGGTCCCATGAACACGAAAGGGTGGGCGACGCATTGAGTCGAGTGCAGCAAAAGTCAAGATTCGGGAAGGGGCCTCCACGGGACACTTGGACGCGGGCCATGGAGGGGGTGGAAAGAGAGGTCAGGAGTTTTTTTTGGGGGGGGGAAGGAATACTTTGCAGGCAACTTACTATTATGCCTGCAACTTGCTTTTAGGCCTTCCACCCCCTGCTTTCCTTAAAAATATGATTTTTTAAAAGTGCAAAGAAATCCAACTCGCCGGAGGTTTTGCATTTGGCGTGCAACTTCCTTCAAGTGTGAGCGCGCTGGGAGGGAGCGGTGGGGGTTGAACTTGGCAGGCGGCGCCTCCTTCTGCCGCCGCCGCCGCCGCCGCCGCCTCACAGACTCGGGGAAGAGGGTGGGCGGAAACCGTCCACGGCGCGTCGGCCGCGGCGGCAGCGGCTGCAGACTGGGCTGCCCAGACGATGCTGGGGTGGGGGACCTGCTGGCACGCGACTGCCCCCCGGCCCAGAGTACGTATGCGCTGACCCCTCTGCCTTGCGCCCCCTGAAGCCTCCCCCGAGGGCGTGTCTGGACGGTGGACCCCAAGTGCAGCCGCGACGCTGCGGCCCCGTTTCCGTGCAAGCCTGTAGCTCCGTGCGAAGTGACACTTCGCGCAACTCGGCCCGGGGGTGTGGGGAGAGGCCGGGGGTGGCGGCGCAGACCACCGCCGCCGTTCTGCTGCGGGCCGCGCAGGGGCTCCCCTAGCCAGCCCGCTGTCACCCGCAGGGGCGCTGGGGGCGATTGCAGCTGAGGGACTGGGCGAGCTCCGGAGTGGGTCGGGAGTTGCGGAGCTGGGCGGGGGCGGGAAGGAGGCAGAAGAGAAACTAGTAAAACTCAGCTTTTTTCTTAATCTCGCCCGAGAGATACCAGGTCGCCCCCCGCCGACGCCGTCTCTCCTTTTTCCTGGGGGCGGGGGTGTGAGGGCGAATAGAAGCCCCGCGCACCCCGGGGGGGGCGGCGGGTGGGCAGGCGCCGTCGGGG